ATATCCCTCCAACCACCTTATTTCAGGCTGGTGCAATATTACAATTCACCCGGATATATGGAGGGCGGCCAAGTGGTCCAGCAAAATTGGACATGGAGGGGGGTCGCGGTTTCCCAATTGGCGGTGGGAATTGCAGGCTGAATCCAAGCGGGCCTGGAGTAAACGACACTGAGCACTGACTACCTGATGTCCAATTTCATTCCAAAGGCTTGTTTGAGCCTTGCAACATACGCCTCTTTGTGCATAGTTGCAGAGGATCGATCAACACTTTGTGTAGAAGCCCCTGCCCTGAAAGTGTTGTATTATTACTGAAAAGTTGCGTTTTTTGAACTCAAGCTTTGTGTATAACTCTCGTAGTGCACATTTGCGACAGCCTTGCGTTTTCCTTGTGGTCCGGTTCGACGTGTTGAGATACACGATTTGTATTCTTGACCAAAGCCTCATGCGGGTTCCAATCATTGATTACCGTCCATCTTGTGTGAGCCGCTGCTGTTGAATACTTTAGTACACTGTGATTTCGCGAAACGTTGATTTGGCAGAACCAGCGGACTGTGTCACTACATTCAGGCCCAGCGGAGAGAACTCGATGCGGCCGTGCTTGCACTTGAGTTTGAAGGGTCTGAAATATGATTGGACATTTGTCGGTGGGCATTGTTTACATTTGGTTTGGAGGAATCCACATCCACATGTGATTCTTAGCCTCGTCACATCACTTCTTAAGTGTAATCACCCTGTGCCCACCCTGTGCCCACGGCTTTTTGCAGTCGCAATCTGCGCATGCCATAGAGGAGAGAGTTGGACAGAGCCCTGGAGAGAATGTCGATGCCCTGAGCGGCCTCGCATCTCTCCCCTACACTCTGCCGACTCGCTGTCTGGCACAGGTAGCCAGCCTCGGCAAGCTGAGCTTTCGCCAGCTTGTGCTCCTGTCGCGTGGAGTGCCGGGAGTGCAGGAGGCCTTGGCTGCGCTGCCACGTGAAGCTTGATATCTCAGACCGCAGTTTGAATTGCACCACACTGTCAAAGTAGAGTTGATTACGGCTTGTGGAGCTTGTAGCGCACATGGTTGTTAGTGCTTCATTTGGCTTCAATGGTCATTAGGCAAAACAAGTTTTGCTGCAAGTGGACAACGAGCTGTGAAGCAACTACCAATCTGCGGCAACTGCGGTAGCACAGAATCGCTTTGACGCAGAGTTGGTTGTCGATGGACTTTTTTCTAGCCACAAGAGCCTGACATCATTGTGCGCAACACATGTGTCACTTCCAACAGCAACCGAGCACTCTGCTTGACAGTGTTGAAATAGAACTTGCGATCAGACAGCGCCCAATGACTTGGTTGGGAGATGTGGCACGCTTGAGGCGGTTGAGGGTATAGAGAGCAAGTCATGTCCACCCTGCAGATGTGTTGATGGCTAACAGGGTCCGCGACACCTGGCACCTGGCGCTGGTTTACCAAGAAAATATGGAATTAACATTAGTTGACCTAATCACTCAGTTGGTCTGTTTCAAGCAAACTGCCTGCTTACTGTTGCCAAAGTCGCCGTTTGCGAGTCCGTGACCCTGTGAGTGCTCGCAATACCCTGCGTGCAGTCTCGAAGCGGCAAACAATGTCTGGACCGGCGCGTGCTTTCGCCCGAGCATTTGTATATTCGAGGAAAAAAACAACAACGGAGGGCGGCCAAGAGGTCCTGCCCGACTTTGGGTCTGGTGCCACGCCCGTGAGCAGAATTGGACATGGAGTGGGGTCGCCGTTTTCCCAATTGGCGGTGGGAATTGCAGGCTGAATCCAAGCGGGCCTGGAGTAAACGACACTGAGCACTGACTACCTGATGTCCAATTTCATTCCAAAGGCTTGTTTGAGCCTTGCAACATACGCCTCTTTGTGCATAGTTGCAGAGGACCGATCAACACTTTGTGTTTAAGCACCTGCCCTGAAAGTGTTGTATTATTACTGAAAAGTTGCGTTTTTTGAACTCAAGCTTTGTGTATAACTCTCGTAGTTCACATTTGCGACAGCCTTGCGTTTTCCTTGTGGTCCGGTTCGACGTGTTGATATACACGATTTGTAATCTTGACCAAAGCCTCATGCGGGTTCCAATCATTGATTACCGTCCATCTTGTGTGAGCCGCTGCTGTTGAATACTTTAGTACACTGTGATTTCGCGAAACGTTGATTTGGCAGAACCAGCGGACTGTGTCACTACATTCAGGCCCAGCGGAGAGAACTCGATGCGGCCGTGCTTGCACTTGAGTTTGAAGGGTCTGAAATATGATTGGACATTTGTCGGTGGGCATTGTTTACATTTGGTTTGGAGGAATCCACATCCACATGTGATTCTTAGCCTCGTCACATCACTTCTTAAGTGTAATCACCCTGTGCCCACCCTGTGCCCACGGCTTTTTGCAGTCGCAATCTGCGCATGCCATAGAGCCGTATGGGGCCATAGAGGCGAGAGTTGGACAGAGCCCCGAAAATTGTTCGATGCCCTGAGCGGCTGTGCCCAAAACGTCCACACAAAATGTGTTTTGTGCATTTTGAAACGCGGAAAAGAGTGGGGATTCCTTTTTATATGAAATTCTCCGATGCAGCCAGTCAGGTAATATTCATTCATTTGCTCTAGCTCTTCAAACGGACCCTCTTAAAGGAAAGGCGCGCTTTGAATATGACTCTTCCCACACATTGAAAGACTGTAATAACTAAGACATGGCAAAGTGTGTGTGTGTGTGTGCGTGGGTGGGTGTGTGTGTGTGTGCGTGTGTGTCTCAGTGTTTGTGTCTGCCTGTGTCTCTGTGTGTCTCCGTGTGTCTCTGTGTGTCTCTGTGTGTCTCTGTGTGTCTCTGTGTGTCTCTGTGCGTCTCTGTGTGTCTCTGTATGTCTCTGTTTGTGTGTGTGTCTTTGTGTGTGTGTGTGTGTCTCCTTCTGTGTGTGTCTCTGTCTGTGTGTGTGTGTGTCTGCGTTCGTCGCTGTGTGTCTCTGCGTATGTGTCTCTGTGTGTTTGTGGGTCTGTCTCTGTGTGTGTGCCTGTCACTGTCTGTGTGTGTGTGTGTGTCTGCGTGTGTCTCTGTGTGTTTGTGCGTGTGTGTGTGTGTCTCTGTGAGTGCATGGGTCTGTGCGTGTGTGCGTGTCTGTCTCTGTGCCTGTCTGTGTGTTTGTGGGTCTGCCTGTGTGTGTGCGTGTTGCTTTGCGTGTGTGTCTCTGTGTTTGTGTCTGTGTGTGTGTGTATGTCTTCGTGTGTGTGTGTGTGTGCGTGTGTTTTTGTATGGGTGTGTCTTTCTGTGTGTGTGTGTGTGTCTGTGCGTGTCTGTGCGTGTGTTTCTGTGCGTTTTGAGGATTGTTTGGATGGGCAAAGGGAAGCCAGAAGGAACTTAATCATTTAGGGGGTCTCTATTTTGCTGCACATGCGAGTAGTGAATCGCTTCGAGGCTTTGAAACTCCCTCGCGAGCTGCGTGATAGGTCTGTCCAGTCGTGCAAACCCATGGGCGTGCGTTGAAACTTGTGGGGATGCATGGAACTCCCAAGAGAGGATCCTTCCTCGGGGTCCAGGGATACTTCCCTGTTTGGTGTGGCTAAAATCTGCAGAGCTAGGGTTGTGGAGATTCTAGTATTTTTCCATTCACCAAGGTGCCAAGGTGCATTTTTGGAACCATCTTTTGAGCCACAGCCATCCAGGTTTTCTAGAACCCTCCTCGCTGTGTACATGTTGACGGTCCCTTGATCTTCATCAAGCGAAGATTTGAGGGAGCTCGGATCCAGTGAATTCGAGCGGAGAGCCTCGGATGCTTCGGCTTCAACATCGAACCTCACTGGTGTTCCAGTGATCCGCAGTTGGTGGAATGTTGCGGCCGCACCTGAACTGGATCATATATATATATATTTGGTAGTCAAAAGGAGCAAACATGAGACAGTCAGCGGGTCATGGTACATTTGGGGTGTTGTGTAACGCCCCGTTTTGTGGATTGCGAGCCTACGTGTCTCTTGTCCAACAAGCAGAGGATTGTGAGGGTCCTGTGAATATTTGCAACAGAGCCATATGTCGTCCACTTCCCGTACTGGATTTATCCTGTACTTTGAAGGTTGCAACATTCTGAGTGAATCATGACCAGGTTAAGTGAACATGGTCACTGACATATCCTTGCAGAGACATCTCTCTCTCTCTCTCTCATGCCAGCACCTTGGATTCACATAATTTGTTAGCTGTTAGCAGCATTCGGACAAGTGCTCTTGAGCACCCCATTCCCAGACACACTTACATTCGTTGACAAATTGTCAAATTGTTGATGTTCCATCCATGGGCTTTGTGCGCATTTGTGACCAGGTTCTGACGTTCGTCGGTTTCAGATCTGCTTCTTTGCCGCTGTGTTGTTGCCCCGCGAAGCAGATTCACAATTGAAAGCTGATCGGATAGCGCCGCAACACTACCGTTTTTGATGGCCAGATTCAGCCGCTGCATGGCTGTGAAAGCACGTGGCAGCGTTGAGGGCTGGCAGGTGGAACAAAACAGATGCAGCATTGCTGGCCTGGTATCTTGGTTCCAAGAATTGAGTTGGCGAAGAGAGGGCGGTTTTGTGTTGGATGTCACCTTGATTCCAATTTGCCAACACTAGCTCCCGGAAATTCAAGTGAATCTTTGCCCCCGCAGTCCTGGTAGTTTATTCCCCCGTCGACGGGATCGGATCCATTTGCCGATAGGAATACTTGTCCATTGTCACGTGAGGCGCCTTTCTCTTGAATGTTGGCCTCTTTGGGTGGTATTTTGGCAGTCGAACTTCTTGCCTGGCAAGGACAACGAGGAATCGTTTTCAGCCCAGCATGGTTGCATTTGCAAACTGCGGCTGCAGGTTGGATGCACGAAATATTTGTTTGCTGCGAGTAGTTGTTTGGTATCCATTGCTCTTCATTGATTGCCCTCGTTATGCTTGCTTGTATTTGGAATCTCTGGCTTGGGTACCGACTCACAGTGTACGCCGGACAGCCATTTTGCGCCGACAGTCATTGCCAGCCAGGATGACACAGAAGCCATCGGCGCACTCCTTGGTCCACGCCAACCCTGACGAGGCGGTGTCGCCAAGTGGGCTGATGCTGTTCAGTGGTACTTACCCCGCTGCTTCTAGGGATCCCAGGGAATCTTGGAGATCTCCCATAAGGACGATGGGATGAACAGAATGGGGCATCTTTTTTTGTGGACAAAAGTGTGGACAAAAGTGAATCGGTCGGGGCCTTCCCGAAACGGTGTCAGCCTATCCCAGTTGTTTGCCCCCGGTGTCACAGAGCAAAGAGTCAAGGAGCGCGGTGGTCCGCTTTGAGCAAAGTTGTGTTGACCATGCTCCAATCGGTTAAAGTCGTCGAGGCAGTAGGCGTTGCTCACTGGGGCCAGGGTTTGGACTTGTCGATTCCTGTTTCCACTCTTAAGACTCGGAAAAGGAGGCTTGTGCCACAATATCGCTTACATAAACAATTTATGTTTGCCAAACATGCTCAAATCATTCATTGCCAATTGCTAACTCAGCAGAGTCTATTGTGGCAGTATATAGTGAAGGGGCGTAAGCAGAGTGGACATAACAGGGCCCAAAACAGGCAAATGACAAGACCACCCGGAGGCGAGCAAGGCCAACGCTGCTGGTCGTCATGTCATTTTTGGGCACGTAGGTTCTAGGTTCGACGAGACCCTGCCAGCTGCGTGGCTGTTCCCCTTTTTCCAGCCCACACGAAAGCGAGCATGTGGATTTAGGACTAGATGTAGTTATATATCAAAACTGTGGACTCTTTTTCTACCCGTGCCGACCTGAGCGCTCTTTTACCGGATATCCCGAAAAGGGTCCCTACTTTGGGGGGTTGTCCTATGATGTCCTATGCAGACCGCGCGAAGGAACTTTGAAGCCAAAGCTGCAACACTGCTGGGTGTAGGGACTGCGTCGTGCCGAGTATAGGCAGCGTCCAGAAACAAACTACTTAAATGGGCGTCTTTGGAGCTAGAGTACCCAAGTGGCAGGTCACAGCTTTTATTGTTTTGCAATTCTGCGGTGTTAAGTGGTTGAACCAGCGCAGTGGTTGAACCAGCGCGAGATGCTCCCATGCAGATTCGCATAGATGGCAAAGCAGATGTTCTACGGGAGATTCTTTTGAGCATGATGGGTGTTTGGCTTCCATGTTAGTAACACACCATTGTTGGTATTTACAGGAGAATCGTCATTCCACGACTTCTTAGGTGGTGCAGGATTTCGTCCATGCACGGTATGGTGAATTTTGTCAGTTGGTGGACATGAATCCCCACTGAATTCGGATTTCCACCAAAGCATCCCTAATTCTAGGGGTTGATTCCCCATTCTTTTCAGAAGGATCCCTGTAAAGAATGGAAATGGAAGGTACCCCTAGACTAATCACAAAGTCATACCTTGCCAGAGCTGTTCACCAGCCAGGGGATGTTCCGAGTCAGTGGCTCAGGATCAGAAGCACGGGTGGACTCTGATCGTCAACGCCTTGGAGCGCTTCAACAAGGTCCGGAGTGCTGTTTGCCCGGGGGGACGGGGTCCTCAGGGTTTTCACCAGGAGTCCGCGGCTGTGAGCATAGGGACAAAATAATTGCTACAAACCGGCAATATGGGTGTGTCTCTAAAAATGGCTGCAGCCTTCAAATTCATGTTTTGTTCCGTTTGGTTTTCCTCTGAACACCATAAACGGGTACCCTCAAAGCGCACATACCCAGCGCTCCTTTTGGTGATTGTCCCCATTGATCATGGCACAGGATTGCACGGTTCGACACTCAGGGTGTTGACCTCCTTGCAGTCGGGGGATCGCAGCCTTCGGGGTGAAGAGCATGTTGTTGTGTGGCTCGCATGCTTGTGCATACAGGTGCGAAAGTTCACTTGATTTTTGGACACTATTTTTTGAGCGTGCTCTTGAAGTGTTGGAGAAGATGACTCAGCAGCCCCTTGGGCCTGGACACACACGGAAAAAACATAGGGTCCGTAGTTGGTTGGTTTGTTTTTTTGGCTGGACAACTCGAGGTTTGTTGCACTGTTCACATCCGAAATTAAGGTATGCAGTTTAAGTTTTGTCGTTTGTTAGGCAACTTAGACAACTCGAGGAGAACCAAGAGAAACTCAAGGAAAGCACAATTGATTGCAAGCTTTAGTGCAAGGTATTAATTTTGAAAGGATATTAGTTCAATCATAACTACATGATTGATATTGAAGGGGACAAGTTTTCTATGTAGGGTTTCAATTACAGGTTGGTTTGAATTTCACTATAGCATATTAAAAGAAGTTCAGTAACATTTTAATGTTGTTGTTTTTTAATCAAAATTCAGTTCAAAGAGAATATAGACAGGAAACTTCTACTTTTCATGATACGGATAGGTATAAAGACCCAATACGCTACTTGTATTTTGGCTCAAAGAAAAGGTGCGCTCCGCAGTGCACCCGAGCCTAAGTAATCGAGTTTTCATGGTAGCAAGTGAGCCTGATCTACCTGAGCGAGCAGGTCGGCGGTCTATTTGGACCGGAAAGATCGGGGACAAGGGCACGGGCAAGAACAAGGGCAAGAAGGGCAAGGGCAAGAAGGGCAAGGACAAGGGCAAGAAGTGCAGGAAAGGCCCACCGGAGCCTCCGTGGAGGAGGTCCAGGAGCGGCAAAGGAAAAGCCGCTGGAGCGGGCGCTGATCCCGCGGCCCCTGAGCCAGAGGAGCCACAGGAGCCAGAGGAACCAGAGGAGCCGAAAGAGCCCGAAGAACCAGAGCCTGTCCTGACGGTGGATGAGCCCAAAAGAGGAGGCTCAACCGGCGAGTAGCCGGGGGTTGGACGTAAGTCTGGAAAGGGCTGAGGACTGGGGACCCTGGTAGTCGGCACGCAGGATCGTGCCTCGGGAGCCAAGCTACCCGCCACCGCAAAGGCCCCAGCGCAAGGAGCCTTCCAAGAAAGGAGAAAAGGTGCCCAGACAGGTTGAGATTGAGGTCCAGCAGCTCAATAAGAGGAGGAGCGGCACATCCCCAGGAGAGAGGCCCTCCAGGCGCTCAGCCGTGCCAAAGATTTGGCAGAGCCCGCCGCCGAAGGCCAACGTGCCGGCGGTACAGCCGAAGGAGCCCTCCAAGCCAAAGGCAAGTAAGCCTAAGGAGGAGCCCAAGGAGGAGACCCGAGTGATTTTGAAGGAGGCCCCGGCGGCGCAGAAGGTGGTGTTGGTCCCGAAGCCAAAGCGTCCACCGAAGAAGCCACCACCACCACCGCCATCTCCAACTCTGAGTGAGGCCAGCGTGCATTTTCACGATCGGGCTGAGCCTGACTCGGGATCTTACTCGTACTATACAGAGGAAGAAGTGTCCGAAGCGGACTAACCTCCCGGTGCGTGGCACTGGACATTGGGAATGGAGGAACAAGTCAGAGAGTTGCAGGCAGCCCTAGAGAGGTTGGCGCAAGAGAATCAGGTTCTTAGACAGGGCCAGGCTAGTATGGTTACACTGGCCGAAAGTGTAGGAAGGCTGGCCAATAACATGCAAAGAGGAGATCGGAAACTTTTGATAGACACCAAAGGCATTGGCAGGCCTGAGGTCTTCCCAAACGAACATGGCCGAGTTTCCAACAGATCCTTGAATGGGTTGTTGATCAGGGTGGGGAAGTGACGGTAGAAAAGGTAGAGGCAGAGCATGGAGGTGAGCTTGGCATGGGGGGACTTGATGACAAGGGAGACCAGTTGTACCGCTTGCTGTCGTCCCTCACCACTCACGAATCCGAGGACTTGGTCATCAACACTAAGAACGGGTTTGAAGCATGGCGACTGAGCCGGAGATGGGATCCCCTTACGTCTTGCGGGCCATACCAAACCCCGAACGTGTTAAAACTTGGGATTCAGTGAGACCGGCCATAGAGCAGTTGGATGACCTCATGCGCAGATACGAAGCCCGAAGAAATGAGCAAGGGAACAGGGAAACCCTCTCAGCATCAAGTGCACTTCCTTGGAGTTGCTCGTTCCCGCAGACATAGAGCGACACCTGATCCTGAACAAAAGCAGATTGACCACTTACCAAGACATGAGGAGCTCATCGAGACGGTTGTTGGAGCCAAGAACCGGGTCCGGTTCGGCATCGGGTTCCGGACAAGGCCCAGCTCCTATGGACGTCGACGCCCTCTCGAAGGTGCTCAACTCTCTGGTCAAAGGAGGCTCGAAAGGAGGCAGAGGCAAGGGAAACGATAAAGGCGGAGGCAAAGGCAAAGGGAAACGTTGCCCGTGTATCAAGAGAAAGGAGTTTACAACTTCTATTTGGAATCGAATTCGGGTTTTGGACGGCAGTCCAAGGGGACGTAAGTCCGGCCAAGACACTTGCAGCGGCAGACGATGCCGCAGGTGCCGGACAAGGAGAGAACCCGGAGGCACCAGCGGGCCGACCCGCAGATGTGCCCGAGGGAGATGAGATGGATGAGAGCGGCGAGATCGCGCCGCCAGCGCTTGTGAGAGCGCCAGAGGGCCCTTCGAGGGCCGAGGTTGCGGAGCACGAGGCAACAGGTCACGCAGTATCGCAACTGGTGTCGGCATTGTCTTGCCGGCAGAGGATTGGGTAAACAGCATCGCTCACGACCCGATGAGGGCAAGGCCAGCGACGAGCTCGCGACAATCTCGTGCGATTATACATGGATGACGCGAGATGGAAAAGAGGATGGGAAGACTAAGCCTATAGCCTGGTGATCCGAGACAGCCGGACACTGGCCGTTGCGGCCACCTTCGTGGACGCAAAAGGACCGACGCCATATGCGGTTAAATTCATGGCAAACTTTATAAAGCATCTTGGTTACCGTCGTGCAGTCTTCAAGAGTGTGATGGTGAGCATTCGATCGCTGCCCTGAAGGAGCAGGCGGCCAAGGAAGCAGGTGTGGAGAATGTTCCACAATGGCGCAATCGAGAATTTGTGCCGAGAAATCAAGAGGCAGGTACGAGTCCTGCGATCCTCACTTGAGGAGAAGTTGGGTCGAATTCTCAAGGAAGATGACTCGGTGTTGTCTTGGTTTCCAAGACACTCAGCAGACCTGATTTGCAGGTACAAGAGGGGTGTCGATGGGAAGACACCAGAGCAGAGGCGTAGCGGCAAGCAATGGAGAAAGCCAGCTATTGCCGTTCCTTTACTATCGTGAGGTAGGTGAGGGCGCTAGGCCGTTGAAGGAAGGCTGTTATATAGGTCACCACGGGAGAACCGGCACTTTGCTGGTTGTGACACCAGAAGGAGTGAAGCGAGGTACAGGAGTTTGTTGTCTTGCAGAGGATGAGCAGTGGAACTTTCAGGGATGGGAGAGCCTGAAAGGCTACCCCTGAGAGGTCTCGGTGAAAAAGGTGAGGAACACCAAGCCAGAGGGCGCCTGGGACTCCAGCCCAAGGAGTCGAAGATCTACTGGTCAGTGAGGACTGGGTTGAGGTACCGCCTCAGATCGTGCCAGTCATTGCACCACCGCAGCAGCGGCGGATCTACATCCGGAAGGTCGATGTGGACAAGCACAAACCTACAGATGGATGCCCAGGCCGTACATGTGTGTTGCTGGGAGAACCCACGCAGCTTCCGCACACGGAGGCATGCAGAGCCCGATTTGTTGGGATCATGATGGACGATGAACAAGGACGACGTCGGGTAGAAGAACACAAGAGGAAACGAGAGGAGACAGTAGTGGAGAGAGACTGAGGCCGGAGCAGGAGCAGGTCATGCTCCTGGACAGGTGATGGAGTATGAAGAGGACCCAGTGAAAAGGGCAGAGCTAAAGAGAGCTGCAGCTGAACCTTCAGCATCCAGCAGCCCGAAGAGCAAGGCTAAGCCGACTACACAGGTCAAGAGGCCAGGCGCGCATCGACCCAAGCTGAAGATGCAGCTGAAGCAGGGAGAGAAGAAAGAGCCGGAAGTATTGGAAGAACTCAGGACTGGACTGAGGATGTGTGCACAGTCCGAGGCCCAATGTGTAGATGGACCAATCGTCCAGGACTAGCACAAACAAGATACCGGGGTCTTGGCATAGGCATATCCACCTGATCGGAGGACTCGCGAGGCCGGCAGCTAGATATCCGCCAGCACTAGTGCGAGGGACTACCTGGTCGAGAACGGACAATTGCGGTCCAGTTTTTGAGGAATGCTCTGTGACGCCGGAGGACGCCGCGCAGTACTGGGACGATGTGAATGGTGGCTTTTTACCACCAGATCGTGTCAGGGGGAGGCACGCCAACTGGAGCTGGCATATCTTAAGAAGTTTATGAGAAGGTGCCCCTCAAGAGTGTCTTCGAGATACCAATGGGAGAGGCCCAATATCCACTCAAGAGCCCGTTTCTATGGTGTGCCAAAGAGGCGCATACACATAGAGTTGCCAGAGGAGGACTGAACTCCTGGAATGGTAGGTCGACTAACCAAGTCGATGTACGGAACTCAGGATGCCCCGAACATATGGCAGCAGCATGACACACAGCTGTTGGTCAAAGCGGGATACATCAGGGGAAAGTTGAATGGTTCAGTGTTCTATCATATCCCATAGTCCGATC